ATTTTAGAGCTGGCTGAAAAATGAAGAAAAATGTTGTTAAATTTTTAAATTTAAAAAGAAATTGTTGAAATTTACAGTCTGTCGCATCTTACACGCATTTAACATGCGCGATTTCAGCTTTACGTGGTCGGCAAAAACAAACAAACAAACAAACAAAAACACAAAAAAAGAGAAAAATAAAAATTTTAATACAGTACCTGTAGTGCAGGCGATTCCGCCCACCATTACACTCAATGTAATTTTGACTACACGCGATTTTCGCTTTACGCGCTACACTGTGGAACGTAACCCCAGCGTAAGATGCGACAGACCTATATACCTTTTGAAAAATTTTAACGACTGTAAAAAATGGTAAAAAGGAACACAAAAATTCACAGAAAATGTTCAACCAGCTCTATTGAATTGAATAGGGATGAAATCAACAGGGCCCTACAGAAATTGAACAAAGTTCTATAGAAATTATTCTAAAAACTTGTAGAATTTAATAGAGAATGAGATCCTTTCTATAGGATTTTTGTAGTTATCCTAGAGAATCCTATAGCACAGAAGTAATTCTCTATTAAATGTTATCGGATAGTTAAAAATATCTGCAGAAAAATTATCGTTTTCTACTAAATTCAATAGGACTATTTCATAAGAGCATCCTTCTTCCACTTAAATCATGAGTACTGCACTTTTTATTTGCTTTAAACAACCCTAGTATTTTCCTAATCACTGCATTCTTATTAAAGCTCTGCAAAATATTTACAATGAAACATGAATCCTTGTGAAACCTGCCTGGTTTCAGGTTTCATTATAAACTTGAAACTCAAGCCAGCTTCGTTAAAAGCTTCAACAGGGTTCGTGAACCTTTCCACCCAAACTGGATTGATTTATGGCTTCATGTCAAAACTATACAAATCACGCAGTGTCACATGGGTTGAGCATGCAGCAAAACCTGGGGGGCGTGAAGCCATGCAAATCAAACCCCGCAACTCCGTGAAGCAACAATGCTGAATGTGCACACCCAGCAGCTTTACATGCTGCAATCTAGACATATTGATCTTTAAAAAGCATTAAACATGTGATTGCCCTGACCCATCGGTAAAATGATCTGACCCAGTATAACATAGGCCAAGATTTAAAACAAAACAAAACAGGTGTCTAAAGTTAAACACCTAAATCCTTATTTAGGTGCCTAAAGAACTGGGCACAAGTGCTGAGCACACAGTAACTACCTTTTTAATAAGGCCCATTATTTAAGTGCCAAAATATGAACGGAGGAGCCTAATTTTTGGTATTATTTCTGAAAATTGTGGCCATAAACTTTATAGAGTCGAACCAGTCCTGACTGGGGGTTGTGGGAGAGGGCACAAGTCCTGCAGAGGGTTCAGCCGCAATCCTCGAGTACCGGTCGAAAGGTGGGGGCATCACTAGAAACTGTACAGGGAGCAGAGAGAAGTGGTTGTGGAGCTAGGGCCCGGTGCATCCCTACACCAAATGAGCTGAGCCAGCACAAACAGGGTGCAGCGGGCATTCCTGAGAAAGGCAGTTTCTCCATGGGCTGCTGCAGGTGTGACGCACCTCTTTGCCAGTTATCAATGTCTGTGACTTAAATATGACAATGCAGCCTTAGTGGGTTCAAAGTAGTTCTGCTGATTTAATACTATTACTGCTAATCTTCTGCATTATGACTGTTCTTTGGCTTGGTCTGGCTTCTGTGAAGCATATGTTTGGTCATTAGTCATTGAACCTTGATTCTAACACCAGCATTAGCGCTTTGACAACCACATCAAGGATAGGATCCAGCCGCCCTCGCATAAGACATTTTTAAGCACTGTACGCCCAGCCTTAATAAGCAAAAAGGAATTTAGCCAAAGGATCATTGCCCCCTGGACCAGACTTTACTGGAACTAGCTCTTTCTTCTGGTATGGAAGACGGTGATAAATTATGCGCCAGATTCCAATCTACCCTTTGAAACTTGTGTTTCAGATATTTCACTGACAATGAATTACAAGAACCAAAGGAGAAGATAGAACGTTGGATAGAAAGCCATTTATTAAATGTCACGTCAATCTCAACAGGACATGAAAGTGCTCAAATACCACAGGGTGGCGAATGTATAAATGCCTAAACAGGCAAGTAGGTAGATACTGATAGGTCAGATTGATAGAGCAGTGTGACCAGATCCACATGCAAAATGTTCCCCAGAAAGCCTGAATAGGTGAGCATTGTTTAATTTCATTCTAATTAGCCTATGTCTGGCACCTATTTGTATTTGGCCAACAGAATGAAATCATCTTGTCTTGATGCCTTGATTCTGCATTTTGATTCCCAGTGTTTACTTCTCCATCATATATCAGTGATTATATTGCCTTGACTTGTCACACCTATTATTTGCTTTCAATTTATACAACTGGGCATCTAGCTGTCACTCTAGGAGCGTACACAAAAACTGCCAAGTACAAACAATTGCCTACCTTTGTTAGATTTCTCTGAAGTTCCTCACAGTCTTCTCTAGTTTTTACCCAACCTAAATAATTTTGTCTCATCTGCTAATTTCACCACCTCATTGTTCATCCCCTTTTCCTGACTGTTAATGAATATATTAAATAACACTGATCCTAGAGACGCTTCATTTTCTCATTGTTGTTGTTAGAAAGACAGGGTGGGTGAGGTTTCAGAGTAGCAGCCGTGTTAGTCTGTATCCGCAAAAAGAACAGGAGTACTTGTGGCACCTTAGAGAAGTCTCTAAGGTGCCACAAGTACTCCTGTTCTTTTTAGGGTGGGTGAGGTAATATCTTTTATTGGACCAACTTCTGGTGGTGAGAGAGACAAACTTTCGAGTTTACACAGAGCTCTTCTCTAAAATCCTGGGACCAACATGGCTACAACAACACTACATACAACGATGAAAGGTATTGTGGTAGTGCCTAGCAACCTAAACCAGGTCTGGGCCCCATTGTGCTAGGCGCTGTACAAAGATATAGAAATGTCCAATCCCTTGTACCAACGAGTTTGCAATCTAACATATTTTCTCAGAGAAGAGGGTCAGACTAAAGGCACAAGGGTACCGGGGCTATCAAGATTCAGGGACCTTCGTGGCTGACAAATGATAGACAATGCAGCTTTATTGTGCTCTTTACAGCCTACCTGCAGTAAAGTGGCATTATGTCATATCCTGTCTTAGGATGTGGGGAGAGTACATCATCGTGTCATGTGACACAAGGTCATCGCATGGTGAAGCAGTGTCACCACACAAGATCCCAACATAGCAGCCAATGAGTGCCCATTACTACTGTCTAATAAAAACTATGTTGGCCAGGGCACCCTGAAGCTTGAGCTCCCCTGGATATGGCCCTGTCATTCCCCACAGTTATAGTGACCCTGGCTGAAGTATAAAACTATGTAAAATAAATCTGTTCAGAAAGCCCCACAGTGAGCACCCACAACAAAGTTAGCTGGATCTTTTATGCATTTTACAGTGCCCCTAACTATTAGAGGTGAACCACTGCAATAAAGCTGAGGCATAATTTGTTGGTAAACTTTTACAAATAAAGGAACTGTTTTTGGCTTTCTCTGTGGGCAGAATGCCCATGGTCAAAAGCTGTTGGTTAATATTGTGCTTAAGGATCAGTGGTTTGTGTCAGTTGTGGTCACTTGACATGCTTTTGCCAGCTGGTATAACACCATGTCAAATGGGTCAAAGCCAAAATAAACATGCTCCATGAGCTCATGGTGTCTTAGATCACAGTGCGTGTGAGCTCTCTGAAGCTTTAGGACAGACTTGGAAGGCTTTAAATCATTTAAGCTAATGTTTCCAGCAGGGATGTTGGATTGTTTTGCTGTTTCACCAGGGAAAAAAATAAGCATAAAATATTGACACAAAAGAAAATGTTGACTTTAACCATGGCAGAGATCAGGTTAAAGGCTTTTGATCGCAAACTCCATTCATGGCAAATCCAGGGTTTTAAGGGAAAGAAATGAAACAAGGAATTTCAAGGAATGGGTAAGTGGTAAAATCCAGCCTGAAGTACAGTGTGTAAAATGGAAATGTGTGCATATATGTAAAGCTCAATGTGAAATTATGAGAAACTAATACATAAGATGAATATTAGGAGACCCTGCTGGCTGGCTAGTTAGTCATTCCCAACTGGAGGTTACATCAATGTAGAAGTGGGTCTTGAGTAGGGACGGAGGACAGATTAGAGGTTTTATAGCTTAGTTCAGGGAGGATATTCCATGATGGGAAGGGAGGAAGAAAGTACAAAGATATTAAGGGCAATGAGGTTGGCATTGATGACAGAGTGGAATAGGGATGACATGATAAGATAGAAGGCCCTGCTCCTCCTCCCAATGAAGTTAATGGCAAAACTATTGACTTCAAAGTTCAGTATCACAGGCCCCTAAGAAGGGGTGAACAGGGAGGGCAAGCTTGTGAAAGGTCTCAAAGGGAAGGGCAAACTGTCTGACCCGGTGTGAAAATGAGTTTGGTCTCTGTCCAATCCTGGGGATTGAATAGCACACTAGGTCCAACTCTGCCATCCAGCAGTCCCAGCAGAGAGACTAAGGCAGGGGTAGTCAATAGGTGGATCACGGGCCAAATCTGGACAACCAGGTACTTTTGAACAGACTCCGAAATCTTTTTATTTATCGTCATTATTGTTATTTTTTTTATTATTTTCTCTGGAGTCTGGACCTTGACCGAGATCTGGACAAAAAAAAAAAAAAAAGAAGGACTACCCTGGGCTAAGGTCTGAATGGTCCGGGGACTGACATGCTCTCCTGTTGTTCTTTTCAGGGTTGGAGGCCCTGGGGAAGCTAGTGCCCTGCTGCCCATTCTGTATGTGCTCTGTAGGTAAAGGGAGGGGTTCAGTCACTTGGGTTCAGGATCTGGAGCCTAAGCATTGAAACTCTCCCCTCCCTCTAGATTAATGCTCAGAAGGGAATTTTTAAAGCACTTCCCTAACTCGCCTCCTGTTTCTATTCTGGGTTTCCTTTCCTCTGACAGTACCACACCACGGCATTCGCCGCTCTGCCAGACTCAGAAGGAAGCGGGGGCTTCAGCGTCCACAAACAGAGAGAGCGGCGTCTTTGGAAGCTTTCAGAGCAGCTTGTCTCAGGTTTCCTTTCCTTTTTAATGGTTCACATACCGCTCTCAACGTCTGTCTCTGATTTTCTGGGCACGACCTTGATTTTACATCAAACATTCCCCAGGTCTCTTTGCATCCTGCTGTTGTCTGGCCGGATTATTGTCCTTAGAGCTGATCTTTCTATTAAGATGTTTGGTTTTATTATTTTTCTAACCTAAAGCCCATCTAAAATGTAAAGCCATGTTCAGCCTTTCCTCAAAGACACCTGTACTTTGAGTCTTTGTTCGTGATTTTGCTGTCAGACAGCAGTGAGGTAAGATACTTACACAGAGAACTAACCTTGGGAGATATATTTATTTTTATCAGGTGAACTGAAGCAAATTAGTAGCCTCTATGATCGGCCCCTCTCTGTTCATAAGCCAGCTTGATGAGATACTGTCTGTATTACTGTTACAGAAGCACTTCTCACGTCTCCACTTATATAATCTATTTATGTGCCCCCCCCCCAGCTCCTTGGTATGTGAATGCGTCATATGCATAGGACCAAAGGTATTACCAGATGGGATCAGATCCAAGGTCCATCTAGTGCTGTATCCCATCTCTGGCAGTAGACAGTGCCAGATGCCTCAGAGGAAGTTGTACAAAACCCACAGTAGGCAGATATGGGATCATCTGGCTCCCTAGCATAGGTCTCATCCTGACCTCTATCAGTGAGAGACTGGCTTTAAGTAATGGATTTATCACCACAGCACCTCTGTGAGGATGGCAGGGAAGTGTTACTATATTCCCATTTTACAGATCAGGAACGAGGCAGAAAGATACAGAAACTTGTCCAAGGTCACGCAGGAAGCCTGTGACAGAGCTGAGAACCCCGGTTTCCTGAGTTCCAGACCAGCACCTTCACCACAAAACCATCTTTGTTCACATTTCTTTCAGCTGCGTCCTTACAAACCGAGGTTGTGCCTGCTTTCTGCATGGCTGTTAACTGATGCCATAACAATAGGGGTTTTTCTCACTGTCCTTTTCTCACCTCCTCTCCTGCTCTTACACAGTATCCTGTGCTGGCCTTTACCCCAGGGAGGCTGCAGTTCAGTGGCAGTGTACGCGTGTAATTTGTGAAATGCTCTGAGATCCCTCAGGCTGAAAGGTTCTGTGTAACTATAAAGCAATAGTGTTATGCTGTACTTTTGGAAAGCTTTCAACTTGTTTCTTTATTTGGTGGACAATCTCAAAGCAGCGGCTGTAAGCAATAGAGGTACGCTGACCTCCAAATCCCTGATTCTGAGCTCCCCTTCTCCTGGAGGAAGTTTGGATCAGCATCCTATTGTTGCAATAAGTTAGAGCTAGAGCCCAGATCCAAACACCCTAGATCTTTGAGCTAGTTTGTATCTGGATCCAAACTTCACAACTGTTTTCCTAGCTATATAGGGGGCTAAGCTGGAACCCTGGATCCCAGTTCCTACATTTAGGGAAGTACTGATCTGACCAAAGTCACTTGGGCCTATCTCTGAGCAGTGAGGGATGATCCTCCAAAGAGTTAGAAAAACACCCGTAAAGGTGGAACCTTACCAAACCATGTGGAGGTCTTGGTTGTGCAAAGTTGGGCTAGAAGTCTCACACAAACACACTTATTCACAAGATGTTCAGTGTTTGCCACTTCCAGACGGTCCAGAAATCCCAAGAGCGCAAACTGTCACTTCTGCATTTCCAGCTCCAGCCAGCGCAGAGAAATTAAAACGTTTGAAATTCAAAATAGGCCTGGATTCAATTTAAGTTTTAGGTTAAAGTTCCTCTTTTAAATTTCCTGTAAATTCTCATTTTATCTGAACTGGGTCCCTAGCAATCATGCTTCTTTAGGATAGCACCAGCCGGGAGCTTGGTTTGGTGAGGGGCCTGGAGGCGGAGGAAGGTGTCTGTGTGTAAAAGGACAGTGCTCTTTAAAGGTCCAATTAAACTTTTATTGACTTCACTGGGAGTGAAGAAGGGGACTTAAAGGCTCATCCTGTACTTCGTACTAAGTCAAAATTGCCACTGACATCAATGAGAATTTTGCCTGAGGAAGGACTCACAGGGTGTGGCCTAATATGCCAGAAATTTTAGGCCTCATAAAACATAAGCAACTCACATGACAAGTCAGGTAGAGTATTTTTAAAAAATCCCCGGCTCTTCACTCTGCTCTACTTAATCATTTTAGGCAAAATTGTGCTCTTGGATGCATGTGTGGGGCTCACATTACCACCAACGGGTGCCACGTGTGAATATCCAAGAGCAGAATTTGGCTCTTACTCACCTGGCTCCACTGTATAAACCATTCCACTGCGGGATCCTTCTCTCTGTGCTCCATGCGCAGACTGCTATTTGCTCTTTCCCTGAGCTCAAACTGCGCTTCACCCCAAGGAGTGAACATATTGCAGCTCAACTCAGTGCATGCAAGATGTGCTTTGGAAGATTCCCTTTCCCTCCCCTCAGGGCCCTTTGCGTGCTGTCACAGACCCTTGCTAATTGGATACATCTGACCTGCCAGCATCTTTGAAAGTCTGCAGAGGATCCGTTTAAAGAAACACATTTGGTTTCACATTGAATTTACAGAGTGAAAGTTTTACCAGCTGGAAAGTTCTGAACCATAGTTGATCTTTCCATGAGGAGCGAATAACAGATTGGATCCAGACCCTTTCTGGTTTCAGCTTTCCTCTTCACTTATTCCACTCATTACCTTTTGGAAAAAATGGTTATCGTAAATGCTAACCACCAGTGTCTTAGGCGTGAGTTAAAGAGACAAAATCAAACCCAACAATTCCTGCTTCCTGTTTATAAATGATCTTGAACTCGGCTTCTCAGCTAACCGCATGGTTCATAGCTGACGTATCCCAGTGTGCTGTGTCCTCTTAGATGACGCGTCATAACACTGTGAAGTGTGTGATGGGATCCACACATACAACCAGGCATGAGCCTTCTGCTAACACACTAAATAATAATCAGCATTGTTTTACTGTCACAGAGACTGATCCAAAGCCTACAGAAGTCATTGTAAAGACTCCCATTACCTTTAGTGGACTTTGCATCAGACCCATACAAGCCCTTCTTTTGGGTAGATCTCAAAACACTTCATAGAGGAAAGAAAGTATCATTATCCCCAATTAACAGATAGGAAAGCTGAGGCCAGCGTTTTGCCCCAGTCTCTCAGCAGGTCGGTGGCAAATCTCAGAATAGAACCTAGATAGTCTCCTGACTCCCAGTCTTATCCATTAGGCCAGTGTTTCTCAACCTTTTTGATACTAAAGACCAGCAGGCTGCCTTCCTAAACTGTGCCAGGGCGATCTCAGGGGCTGGCGCCAGTCCACGGAGAAACACTGCATTAGACCAGGCTTCATCCCCACTTTGCTGGCATGCCTGTGGAGAGGGGAGATTATCAATTGATCTTTAGTGAAATAAGTGCAGTGTAACTTAGACTTTATATTCCACATAGAAGGTTTAAGGCAATCAGGGTGAGAGGAACTATATAAGCACAAGGACTCCATTTAAACTGCACTTATGCTATAATTTAAGCAATCTAGAGAATAATGTGTGTGTAAAGTTACTGAAAATGACACACATAAAAGTAAGCATTAAACTACATATACTTAAACATGAGGAAAGATTACAATAATATTAACACAAGGAAATAAATTCGTGGAGCCCCTGTGACTGGATGCTAGCTGTAGCGCCCTGGTTGCTGCAGCACCGGGAAGACTGCAGGCTTAATTGAAGGCAAATAACCCCTTTTTATTAGGGATTACTGAGACTTGGGTGGCAGTTGCTGGGCTGATGAGGCTATTGGCTCAGTAATTGTGAGGCTGTATGTTTGGGAAGCACAGGAAGTGAAGGGGAGCTCAAGAGGGTGATTGAGCCTAGGAGAGGAGAGAAAGCTGTGTGGAAGTCTCCTCCTGCTGTAAACCTGTGGTACATTCTGTTGTGCTTTGAAACTGAAGGTTAAGTGCACATGTGGTGAAAGACAAATAGTCCGCACATGGTTGTGACTGGGAGACCACAAGAACAGGCTAGGCAGTGGTACTTGCAGGCAAGGTGAAGGGATGCCCTGTGATAGCGCCATCTGTGCAATATGGAGGTTTTTAAGTATGTAAGGAACAAAAGCAATCCTAGCAATGGGATAGTCCCATCACTAGATAGAGGGGTAAAATTGTTAATGATGATGCAGAAAAAGCAGCAGTGCTCAATACATGTTTCTGTTCTGTATTTGGAAAGAAGCAGCGTGATATTTTTGTATCATGAGAATGATGAAGTATTTTCCAGTTCATTAATAACTAAGAAGGATGTTAGACAACATCTACTAGGGATAAACACTTTTAAATAATTAGGCCTAGATAACTTGCACCCAAGAGTTTTAAAAGAGTTGGCTGAGGCGACCTCTTTGCTGCTGATGTTAATTTTTAATAAATCTTGGAATACAGGGAAATTCCAGAAGACTAGAAAAGTGCTAATGTTGTGCCAATATTCAAAAAGGGTGAGTGGGATGACCCGGGTATCTACAGACCAGTTCGTCTGACATCAGTTCTGTGCAAAATAACAGAAAAAATGTTACAGGATTCAACTGATAAAGAATTAAAGGATAGGTATATAATTAATGCCAGTCAACATGGCTTTATGGAAAATAGGTCTTGTTTAATTCTTTGGTGTGATTACAAGTTTGGTTGACAAAGGTAACTGTGTAGCTGTAACATACTTAGACTTTTGTAAGGTATGTGACTTAATACTGCACAACATACTAACTAAAAAATTAGCACTAAACAATATCAAAAAATCACATCTTAAACAGATTAAGAACTAACCAGCTGATAGTTTTCAAAAAGTAGTTGTCAATGGGGAATCGTCATCAAATGGGGGGGTTTCTAGTGGGGTTCCACAGTTCTAGATCCAGTGCTATTCAACATGATCTGAAAGTAAATATAAAATCACTGCTGATAAAATGTCCGGATTACATGAAGATTGGCAGAATGGTAAATAATGATGCCGACAGAGCAGTTATGCAGAGCGATCCGGATTGTTTGGTAAACTGGGCCCATTCAAACAAAATGAATTTTAATGCAGCCAAATGCAAAGTTATTATGTCTAGGAGCAAGGAATACAGGCCATATCTACAGAATGGGGGACTGTATTCTGGAAAACAGTGACCCTGTAAAGGATCTCGGGGAATAAGCAATGTGTGAATAAGCAACTCAAGATGAGCTCTCAGTGTGATGCTATGGCAAAAAGGGCTAATGTGATCCTTAGATGTTATACAGGGGAGTAGTGAGTAGAGGTAGGGAGGTGATTTTACCTCTATATAAGGCATTGGTGAGACCTGTACTGGAGACTACATCCAGTTGTGGTGTCCATTTTAAAGGATGTTGGAAAATTGGAGAGGGGGCTGAAAAGAGCCACAAAAATGATTTGATAGCTCAGAGAAAATGCCTTACAATGAGAGACTTAGAGCTCAATCTGTTTAGCTTATCAAAAAGAAGATTGAGAGGTGATTTGATTACAGTGTGTAAGTACCGTCATGGGGAGAAAATACTGGGTACTAAAGGACTCTTTAATCTAGCGGAGAAAGGTATAACAAGAATCAATGGCTGGAAGCTGCAGTCAGACAAATTCAGATTAGAAACAAGGCACACGTTTTTAACAGTGAGGGAGATTAACCATAGGAACAAGAGAAGTGGTGGATTCTCCATCTCTTGATGTCTTCAGTACTGGATGCCTTTCTGAAAGAGATGCTTTAGCCAAACACAAGTTATAGTTATGGGGCTCATTACAGAGATAACTGCATGCACGTTATCAGAGTTCAGATTAGGTGATTTAATGGTCCCTTCTGGCTTTAAACTCTAAGCAACTATGAATCTGACACTGAAAGCTTCCCTGACTGGTGGAGTTTCCGAGGAGGATGGCACTATAAACACTGCCTGACCTCCCATGGGGTATGGCTGCTCCCATTGGTGCAGGAGTGAATCAAACTACTCTCTGGAGCGTGGTATCTTCGCGGCTGAGACTTCGCACTAGCTGAACTAGTTAAAGATGGGCTCAGACCAAAATCCAGATCTGAGCTTTGTGGCTCAGGCTCAGCTGTAGCGCCAGGGAAGCCACCAGCCGAGCCGGTGTGGTTGTAGTTGTGTTGTATCTGTATTGCATGCATGGGTTTATTTTGTTTAACTTCTGTTTTGAATAGAAATACTTGCCCAAGGCAGGAAAGTTCTTGAAGGAGAGCTCCTTGCCTACTGCTGACACTGAGCATTCGATTGGGAGCACTACTCCTGCGCCTTCATTATGGAGAGATCAGCTTTGCTGCTTCGGTCTGGTTCTCCAGTGCTGATTTTGCCTTGCTTCACTCAAAAGCAGCATTAGAGGAAGAGTGCAAACAGGGCCGGATCTAAAGCCTATTAAAGTCAATGGGAGTCTGTCCATCTTTGGATCAGTCCTGTAGTGAACAAGAGAAAAAGGGATGGGGAGGGGCCAGAGAGCAAGAATGAAGGGGAACAGAAAGCAAAGTGGAGGCAGTGTGGTCTACTGGTTAGGTCACATGACTGGGGGGCTCTAGATCTAGGCTCCACTCCAGGCTCTGATACTGACTCACTGTGTGGCCTGTTAGGATACTTTATCAATCAGTTCTTCAGTTACCGCCATCTGTGAAATGGGGACAATAGTACTTCCCTATCTCTCAGGGGTTAGGGAGTCTAAATACGTTTGTGTTTCTAACGTGCCCTCATGGAAGGCACTGTACAAGTGCTATGTATTATCATGTTTATACGGATGAGGCAGAAAATCTCTCGACCGCAACAAGGAGCAGGACTGGAGGGTCAAGTGTCACTTCCTTTCAGTCGGTTGGGCCTACTGGTTGTAAGGTTTTTAAATTGAGTGAATTTATTACAGAGGTGCACCCGAAGGGAGGAAGGAATTAATCACAGCCTCCAATCAATAGCATCCACTAATGAAGCATTTTTCTCAGTGAAGCTCTGTGTAATATTGCAAAGCTGCAAGGAGGTGGGGTGTGGAGTGGATCAATACCATTTGGTTTCACTGTATGCATCAGGAAAATCATTAGTTTGAACAAACCAGACTGCACAGCACAGAGATTTCCCTTAGAACTGCCTTTAATAAAGGGTCCCTTCTGAATTATCCCTAAAAAGATCGAGATTTGTTTGGGGTAAAAACCTAGAAGCTGAGATATTATCAAATGATCCAATCCTCAGGTATCTGGGAAATGGATTAGCTAGACATTAGAAGAGGCATTCTCGGGAGATTTCTGGTCCTCTGTTCTACTTAGGTTTTTAGACTGCACCTACACCACTGCATCTAAAGGGCTTCCTGATTCTAGTCCTGCACATGGAAATGCCAAGACAACTTTTTTTTTTTTTTCAATATTTCATCCAGTCCCAACCACAACTAGGAAATGGGGGATCTACAAGGTGGAAAAGCAAATAATGGTTAGAAGTTCTCCAAAGAGGTGTAAGTTTTCAGATTTCTCATGGAAAGCTGAATTCAGGATTTTTTTCTCTCACACACACACACTGCTCGCCACCTTCTCCCCTTTTACTCCAGCTCTCTTCAAAGTCTTTGCACTGTTTCTCCAAGAAACAATGGTGGGGCGGTGGGTGGCACAAAAATGTTTCACAGGCCCAAAATGCGAAGCCTGATTCGGCTTGTTAAAATGTTCAGCTGTCTCTGGGGCTGGGCCTGAGCCGACTCAGGCAGCTGCTGTGCGGCAGCTGCCACAGATGCTACCAACAGGACTCCCCGCCTGCAAACCCTACCAGTGCCAGTGGGAGTGCCTGGGGAAATCGCTACATCCACATAACCTCTCCATTCCCACGGCTGCTGACTGCTCCTGCGACTCAAGTGGCCAAGCTGCTAACACAGGACACCCACCTGCCACCCCCGCTATTGCTGGAGCTACCTAGAGGAGCCTCCATGAGGTTATGGCGAGGGGGGTGCATGTTGGATGGAGAGGTGCAGAGCCAGCAGTGGAAGAAAGGATGGACTTGGGGATGGTGCATGAATATGGAGTGGCTGGAATGTTTTACACAAAATGTCACAGGTATCACTTAGTGGACTGAGGCAGAATATTTTTGAGGAAGCCCCTTGCTCAAATTTGGGCAGCTGATCACTGGTTGCACTTGAAAGAAAATGCATCGGTTCTGCGCTAGAGCTATTTTTGGTGAACATATGGTGCTCAGTTATGCAGCCACATCATACAGGCAGCTCCCAGTGACCTCAATGACTGTTGCTTGTATGCAGCAACTCCCGCATCAGCCCTTCGGTGTCAAAATTGGGGCAGTATTCATTTTAAAACGAATGCGTCCTTGAAAAGTGAAATAGTTGCTGCCATAACTTCCCGAAGTCTAGTGTCCCAGCTCTGTCACCATGATGAGATTCCCATATAGCTGACATCCAGGTTTAACCAGTTTGTATTTTCCTTGCAAAATGGTGAAAGAAGTTCCAGTTCACCAGTTCCCGCTGACAGTTCATAGAGCATACAAGGCTCAAGAAGGCTAAGGGGAGTTTGGATGAATGTTTAACTGATCCAAATCCTTCTTACAGCTGATGGAGTGCCCGGGGGTCAATAATGCAGGATTCTCAGGGCCAGCTGGTAAGTGATTAAAGGGCTGTTAGTTTAGTTTAGGCCCAACATTTAGATTTTGCAAAAATACGGGAAGGGGAGGAATTAGAAAACCCTGATAGAGATCAGATGTGTTGCATTCATTAATTAAACATTCATAAAAACTTTCTTTTTTAATTTAAAGATCCCACTGCAATGTTGGAATTGCAAATGCTGCAGAGTTATACACCAGTGCAGGGGAACCAGAAAGAGAAAATAACTATGGTCAGAAAGTGAAATTGACCACTGCAGTTTCATGCCCACCCTGGCTGGCCTGTAGAACATAAACCAATAGTTCAAATTGTAAAAAGGCTGATTCACCAGTGTTCACCTAATTTAACGTCTATTTTTACATTCCACTAGATTTGTCCTGATGTGACTCCACTAAACCAGTGTAAAACTGGTGAATCAGGCCCCCAGGTAAGTCTTTCACTGCGAATAGCCTATTAGGTTATAAGACTGATAGTAAGGCCTGGTCTACACTATGAGTTTAGGTCGAATTTAGCAGCGTTAAATCAAATTAAGCCTGGACACGTCCACACGACGAAGCCCTTTTTTTCGACTTAAAGGGCCCTTTAAACCAGTTTCTTTACTCCACCTCCGACGAGGGGATTAGCGCTGAATCAGCCTTTGCGGGTCAGATTTGGGGTAGTGTGGACGGAATTTGATGTTATTGGCCTCCGGGAGCTATCCCACAGTGCTTCATTGTGACCGCTCTGGACAGCACTCTCAACTCAGATGCACTGACCAGGTAGACAGGAAAAGCCCCACGAACTTTTGAATTTCATTTCCTGTTTGCCCAGCGTGGAGAGTACAGGTGACCACGCAGAGCTCATCAGCACAGGTAACCATGATGGAGTCCCAGGATCGCAAAAGAGCTCCAGCATGGACCGAACGGGAGGTACGGGATCTGCTCGCCATATGGGGAGACGAATCAGTGCTAGCTGAACTCCGTAGCAGTAAACGAAATGGCAAAATATCAGAAAAAGTCTCAAAGGCCATGAAGGACAGAGGCCATAACAGGGACACACAGCAGTGCCGCGTGAAAATTAAGGAGCTAAGGCAAGCCTACCACAAAGCCAGAGAGGCAAACGGAAGGTCCAGGGCAGAGCCGCAAACATGCCGCTTCTATGCGGAGCTGCATGCCATGCTAGGGGGTGTAGCCACCACTACCCCAACCGTGTGCTTTGACTCCATCAACGGAGAATCACGCAACAGGGAAGTGGGTTTGTGGACAAGGAAGATGATGATGAAGACAATGAAGATAGCTCACAGCAAGGAAGCAGAGAAACCGGTTTCCCCAACAGCCAGTTTATCACCCTGGACCTGGAACCAGTAACCCCCGAACTCACCCAAGGTGTGCTCCCAGACCCTGAGGGCACACAAGGGACCTCTGGTGAGTGTACCTTTGTAAATATTACACATGGTTTAAAAGCAAGCGTGTTTAATGATTAATTTGCCCTGGCAATCGCAGCCAGTACAGCTACTGGAAAAGTCTGGTAACATGTATGGGGATGGAGCGGAAATTCTCCAGGGACATATCCAGAAAGCTCTCCTTCATGTACTCCCAAAGCCTTTGCAAAAGGTTTCTGGGGAGGGCTGCCTTATCCCGTCCGCCATGGTAGGACACTTTACCACGCCAGGCCAGTAGCACGTAGTCTGGAATCATTGCATAACAAAGCATGGCAGCGTATGGTCCCAGTGTTTGCTGGCATGCAGACAACATCCATTCCTTATCTCTCTTTGTTATCCTCAGGAGAGTGATATCATTCACGGTCACCTGGTTAAAATGGGGTGATTTTATTAAGGGGACATTCAGAGGTGCCCGTTCCTGCTCGGCTGAACAGAAATGTTCCCCGCTGTTAGCCACGCGGTGGCGGGGAGGGGTGAAGTGATCATCCCAGAGAATTGGGGGTGGGGGGGGGGAGTTGGGTTTGTGCTGCATGTTAACCCGGAAACCACAGCCCCTCCTTTTACATTGCAAACCCATTTTAAATGGCCAACCCAACGGGTGCTTGGTATGGGAAATGAGGGCACTGCTGTTTGAAACCATTCCCACATGTTATGAAGGTTAAAAAAGCCAAAAGACTGTGGCTTACCATGGCTGCCTGCAAGCCAAATTCTGCTGCCTGGCACTGCGTGAGTTATCTCTCACACCAAACCGGCAGGCCCTCAATATAAGAGGAAAAATGCGACCTTGTAACGAAAGCACATGTGCTGTGTAATGTGAACAGCAAAATTTAACGTGAAAGAGTGTACCCATTGTTCTCTAAAATGTGTCTTTTTTAACCACCTCTCCCTTCTCCTCCACCAGCTGCAAATGTTTCTCCTTCATAGAGGCTAGTGAAGATTAGAAGGAGAAAACGGCGGACTCGGGATGATATGTTCTCGGAGCTCCAGATGTCCTCCCACGCTGACAGAGCACAGCAGAATGCATGGAGGCAGTCGATGTCAGAGTGCAAAAAAGCACAATATGAATGAGAGGAGAGGTGGCGGGCTGAATCGCGGGCTGAAGAGAGCAAGTGGCGGGCTGAAGAGGATAGGTGGTGTCAGCTTGCTGACAGAAGGCAAGAGTCGATGCTCCGGCTGCTGTAGTATCAAACTGAAATGCTCCAGCGTATGGTTGAGCTGCAGGAAAGGCAGCAGGAGCAGAGACCGCTGCTACAACCCCTGTGTAACCAACAGCCCTCCTCCCCAAGTTACATTGCCTCCTCACCCAGACGCCCAAGAACGCGGTTGGGGGGGGCCTCCGGCCACCCAGCCACTCCACCCCAGATGATTGCCCAAGCATCAGAAGGCTGGCCTTCAATAAGTGTTAAAGTTTTAAAGTTTTAAACTGCAGTGTGTCCTTCTCCTTCCCTCCTCCCCCACCCCTCCCAGGCTACCTTGGCAGTTATCCCCCTAGTTGTGTGACGAATTAATAAGGAATGCATGAATGTGAAGTAACAATGACTTCATTGCCTCTGCAAGCGGTGCTCGAAGGGGGGAGGGGAGGGTGGTTAGTTTACAGGGAAGTAGAGTGAACCGGGGGGGGGAGAAGGGTTCATCAAGGAGAAACAAACAGAAGTTTCACACCGTAGCCTGGCCAGTCACAAAACTGGTTTTCAAAGCTTCTATGATGCGCACTGCGTCCTGCTGTACTCTTCTAACCGCCCTGGTGTCTGGCTGCACGTAATCAGCAGCCAGGCGATTTGCCTCAACCTCCCACCCCGCCATAAATGTCTCCCCCTTACTCTCACAGATATTGTGGAGCGCACAGCAAGAAGCAATAACAATTGGAATATTGGCTTCGCTGAGGTCTATCCACGTCAGTAAACTGCGCCAGCGCGCTTTTAAACATCCAAATGCACATTCTACCACCATTCGGCACTTGCTCAGCCTATAGTTGAACAGGTCCTGACTACTATCCAGGCTGCCTGTGTACGGCTTCATGAGCCATGGCATTAAGGGGTAGGCTGGGTCACCAAGGATAACAATAGGCATTTCAACATCCCCAACGGTTATTTTCTGGTCCAGGAAGAAAGTCCCTTCCTCCAGCTTTTGAAACAGACCAGAGTTCCTGAAGACGCGAGCATCATGTACCTTTCCCGGCCATCCCACGTTGATGTTAGTGAAACGTCCCTTGTGATCCACCAGGGCTTGCAGCAGCATTGAAAAGTACTCCTTGCGGTTTATGTACTCGGTGGCTTGGTGCTCCGGTGACAAGATAGGGATATGGGTTCCGTCTATCGCCCCACCACAGTTTGGGAACCCCATTGCAGCAAAGTCATCCACTATGACCTGTATGTTTCCCAGAGTCACTACCCTTGATATCAGCAGGTCTTTGATTGCGTTGGCTACTTGGATCACAGCAGCCCCCACAGTAGATTTGCCCACTCCAAATTGATTCCCGACTGACCGATAGCTGTCTGGCATTGCAAGCTTCCACAGGGCTATCGCCACTCGCTTCTCAACTGTGAGGGCTGCTCTCATCCTGGTATTCTGGCACTTCAGGGCAGGGGAAAGCAAGTCACAAAGTTCCATGAAAGTGCCCTTACGCATGCGAAAGTTTCGCAGCCACTGGGAATCGTCCCACACCTGCAACATGATGCGGTCCCACAAGTCTGTGCTTGTTTCCCAGGCCCAGAATCGGCGTTCCACGGCATGAACCTGCCCCAGTAACACCATGATTTGCACATTGCTGGGGCCTGTACTTTGTGAGAGGTCTGTGTCCATGTCAATTTCCTCATCACTCTCGTCGCCGCGCTGCAATCGCTGCAATCGCCTCCTTGCCTGGTTTTGCTTTGGCAAGTTCTGGCTCTGCATATACTCCAGGACAATGCGCATGGTGTTCATAGTGCTCATAATTGCCGCAGTGATCTGAGCGGGCTCCATGATCCCAGTGCTATGGCGTCTGGGCTGAAAAAAGGCACAAAACTATTGTCTGATGGAGGGAGGGAGGGGCGAGTGACGACATGGCTTACAGGGAATTAAAATCAACAGAGGTGGCTGTGCATCAGGGAGAAACACAAACAACTGTCACACAGAATGGCCCCCCCAAAGATTGAACTCAAAACCCTGGGTTTAGCAGGCCGTTGATTTCACAGAGGGAGGGGGAAGCAAATGAATACAGAACAAATCTGGTCCATCTATTTTTTACATCTTAGGCTGGCAGCAGACGGTGCAGCATGACTGATAGCCATCGGCATCTTCTGGGTGCTTGGCAGAAGATGCTGTATTACGACTGCTAGCCATCATCGTCAAGACTGTTCAATAGGACTGCCGGCAGGACTGAGTCTCCAGGAGACAAAACATGTCTGCCCAGGTGCCTCTGACCTCACTGAGGAGTACGACGACGACGGATACCAGCGTAATACACCATCCGCTGCCAAAAGGCAAGGAGCTGCTGCTGTATAGCAATGCAGCCCCACGTCTGCCGGCACCCAGATGACATATGGTGATGGTGAGCTGAGCTGAGCTGAGCGGGCTCCATGCTTGCCAGGGTATGTTGTCTGCACAGGTAACCCAGGTAAAAAGGCGCGAATCGATTGTCTGCCGTTGCTATGATGGAGGGGGAGGGGCCTGACGACATGTACCCAGAACCTCCCACGACACTGTTTTTGCATCATCAGGCATTGGGATCTCAACCCAGAATTCCAGTGGGCGGCGGAGACTGCGGGAACTGTGGGATAGCTACCCACAGTGCAACGCTCCGGAAGTCGACGCTAGCCTCGGTACTGTGGACGCGGTCCGCTGACTTAATGCACTTAGAGCATTTTATGTGGGGACACACACAATTGACTGTATAAAACCGATTTCTATAAATCCGGCTTCTATAAATTCGACCTAATTTCGTAGTGTAGACATACCCTAAGTAATACAGATAAGGGAAAATCTTTTTTTATTTTCCTGCTCAATGTGAATTTATATTGACAGTGTTCCTTTAAGCTATGGGAGGATTTTGGATGATGTATTATTTAAAATGTTATCATGTTCATTAATATTTTCAAATTGTGCTAAACCCCGTGTGCATCATTACACAGGCGAACAATAAGCAATCATACATTAAGCAAACTCAACATAATCCAAGAAGAAGTCTGTTATTGTATTTTAGAATTAGATACACACACTGCCTCTTACTGAGTTCACAGTCCAGCCATATCAAGCTCTTACAAAAGTCCCTGCGAGTGAAATTCACAGTGTCCATTATATCGCTCTGTCTGGCAATAAACGTGTGGAGGGGAAATCAGTGTAAAACATCATGTGAACATGAAAGAAAAGGAAAAAATAAACTACTCATCATGCACTCAAACAACAAGGATTCAAATAATCAGCATATCCCACCTGCTCCTCAGAACCCTCAAATCTCATTTAGATTCAAACAAAAAATGCAGCAAGTTGAAGGGATTTGACCAGCCTAATTCTGGGGATGGAATGGCTCTGAGCAAACACCTGCTTCCCTCAGGGACCAAATCCAACCAATATTCAGCCTAGCCCAGTCGGACAGAAAAGACCCTTCATTACATCAGATGATGTCATCTGTGGGAGGAGACAAGAGAATTAAAGCAAGATGCATTATAGCTGCAAGGTACAAACAGAAACCTCCAAGAGCAAATCCCCAAATACAGATAATAATAATGCTGTTGATTCCATAAAGTCCACAGCGGATGGTAGGAACAAATAGAACAGGCAGTAACTACTGCCCGAGTTTCCATAGAGTTCCATAGTTCCTCATGAAGGGAACGGGAGTGAAGCAGAACATAAATGCCTCCCTCTGTTAGGTCCATAATAGCCTGCTTCTGCTCACACTTACACCCCTGTAAATCCAGGAGTACTTCCACTGACATTAATAGTTACACCAGTGTAAAACCAGGGAAAGTGAATTAGGCCATTAGTCATTACTCTCTATGTAGGTTGCCTGAGTTAACCATTGTTTTCTAGGACAAAGCCATCACACCATGATACCATGTTTGCATCATGATGATGTCTTGATATTGCATCATCATGCTACCCTGCAACAGCACAGTGTTACAAGCCATTGTCGGACACTTGGCAGGGGGCACACCGGCACTGCCAAATCTGAGACTGGTGGCAACTATAGTCTCCAGAGTGTCCATGTCCATTACTGTTTAATGAAGTCTTTATTCTGCATGCTGAACACACAAGTGAGCTGCTTCTGACAATAGGAAAATACATGTCTGGCCAACAAATTTTACCTGGGGTCAAACGGATTATAGCCTTGGAAAGACCCCGTCAATCTAGCATCCTGCTTCTCTACAGACAAGCTAAGTATGACCTCCCCAGGAAAAGGCTGTTCTTCTCTTTCAGGAGGTTAGGATATGACACTCATCAGAATAGAAACTAATTCAAGAGTCCTGAAAAGTGAGAACTTTCTTGCATGTTTTAACCAGGAATATGTTACAGATTTTCAGGTCCTCCCATAATCTGCTTGATAGATATCTCTCAACAACTTGTCAATTTTTGGACCTGATAGACCGCATGACTTGAGTCTGAAAGATATGGAAGGATTTGGAGGCCACAGGAGAAAGGAGGCAGTGTTGGAGCCTTGCAGAATTGAGAGAAGTGGACCCCCACACTAAGTTGGATCCCAAATCTGGTGTCAAATCCCCCAGACCCTGAATTTCTAAACCCACATCATATTCCTATCTCAGAATGTCCTGTTTTCCCAAAATGCATTTAATGAGCATCAGATTTCTCAGGGAAAACTTGGAGAAATACAAGGTCTTAGAAAGTATTCTACCAGCTGAGTGGGAGCCAGAACACCTGGATTGTATTTCAAGCTTTTCCACTGAGTCACTGGGTAACTGGGGCAAGTCACTTGCCACTTCGGTTCCAGTTGCCCACATGATTAATGGTGAACATAATGCTTCCCGGAGGAGGGGGAAGGTGCTTACAGGATTAATTCAATAAGTGTTTTTAAATGCTTTGAGATCATCCCATGGCTGCAAATGCAAATGACGATTATCCTTTACTTTTCTTGAATTAAAGACGTTTGCATGAGAACAAGACCGTTGCCTTCGCCTAATTTGCTCACTTTGATGGCTGTTCTGTTTTGAAAAGAATGATGCTGATTTGAGCAATCAATGCTCTTTGTTCAACAGGGTATTTTCCCCTTTGTCCAAACAACGCTATTGATTATACACAGATCAGTGCCAATGAAAACAAAGAGATAGAGCTTGTGTTGGCTTGGCCCCAGCTGTTATAATCCACAGCAGCAAACCTGCTCCTTGTAAAACCCCTCATTTCAGAAGGATCCCGGGCCCTGCTGATTGAAATAGCATTTTCCCCAGCTCCCTAAACCTAATGTAAACTAGGTGGCTCCAGGCCAGGCCAGGTTTTCTGTTTGTGCCAAACTGTCTCAGCATGTGCCCTGGCACAGTCACGCCCTTGTGCTTTCATTGTAAAGCTCTGACCTCTCTGAGGTAGACTGACCTCTTGGAGGATCTGAAGGACATTGTTCCTAGTATTGATCTTGCTGCAAGGTGCCATGGAACTGCTTACTTGAGCTATTTCTGACCTGGCTGCTTCCCGCTCTGCTACATGCACTCAGGAAGAGGGAGCGTGTTTAGAGCACAGAGCCAGGAGTCCGAGGTCTGTTTCCCAGTTCTGCCATTTACTTGCTAAATGATCTTGGGGCAAAATCATGTTAGTGTTTGATCCTGCTCCAGTTGAAGTCAATGGCAACCTTCCTATTGACTTCAACCATTCAGATTCAGCCTTAAACTCTGGTTTCCCTGTCTGTGAAATGTAGAAATAATTCTTGCCTTTGTCGGAAGAGAGTTGTGAGGATCGACTGATTATTGTCTGTAAAGTATTTTGCAATCCTAGGGTGGGCAAATAATGCAAAATTATTGTAATGTGAACGTGTGTATGTATCCCTGCCTTTCTCTGGACACTGAACTGCTCTGTAATGTTGACGCCATGGCATAGACACTGACTCCGTGGATGCTCCGGGACTGAAGTCTTGATTTCAGCTGCTACCAGAAGCAGAAATTCCAAATTATCATACAGGAACAATTCTTGCAGTCTTTCCAATCAACTGAAACCAGGCAATACTGGAAATCTAGCAAGAAAGCCTTTTCTTGTGATGTTTTCAGCTGGATTTCTTTACTGAAAGATATGAATAAGTTCAAATACATACCTGGAAAGTCTTAGCCTCAATGAAGTCAGCAGCAAAACTCCCATTGATTGCAATAGGACAGGTTCACCCAACAACCAAATCTTTCAAGTCTCTTGTTGCAAATGCAAACATTATATATATATATATTTGAAGGCTGACATTTTTAATGCATTGCTTGGCACAAATAGCATTGTAGCCAGAAATGAACACAAGGCTGCTGCATCCTCCAGAGTAGTTAAGGAATTGTAGCTGGAGAATTTGGGATTTTAGAGACTAGTTTTGAGCCTTAGTACGTATAATGTGACCACTTAAGCATGTAAACAGGATGACATGTGGTTTAAAAATGTCATTATTAATATAAAAACAAAAATACAATGTGGCAACTTAATCCTCTACTTGTGTTTTCTCTTTGCAAGGTGGGGACCCTTGGACTTCCATCACAGACCAACTGACACACTATTCCAGCATTAACAGAGTTTCCTTTAGTGAAACCGGATCAGCTTCGACAGAGACATCTGCTAAAGTCAGCAGCGCTCACATGTTCCCTGGCTCACACAACCTTTAATTTGTTTTGCTTCTTTCTTTAAAAAAAAATCCCTTTTGGGGCACAATGGGGATCCAGATCTCAGTTAGCGTCTCTAGGCTATCCTGTGATACTGCTACCAATGATTATTATACTGGTATGTCAACCTGGGGAACTCTTTGCCAGACAATGTTGTGAAGGCCAAGACTATAACAGGGTTCAAAAAAGAACTAGATAAGTTCATGGAGGACAGGTACATCAATGGCTATTAGCCAGGATGGGTAGGGATGGTGTCCCTAGCCTTTGTTTGCCAGAAGCTGGGAATGGGCGACAGGGGATGGATCACTTGATGATTACCTGTTCTGTTCATTCCCTCTGGGGCACCTGGCATTGGCCACTGTTGAAAGACAGAATACTAGGCTAGATGGACTTTTGGTCTGACACAGTATGGCCGTTCTTATGTTCTTATGTTAAGTTCATCCAGTCAAAGGGCAGACATGAATTGGCATCTGAAAGAAAAACAAAGGTGATGTGGTTTTAAATAACAAATAGAAATTATTACACAGCATGAATCCTCACCCTGTTCTTTTTTTAATCAAGCACAAATCAGTCTTGCCTAATCTATCTATGCAGTTCTAACATGCATACCACCACAGGATCAAGGTGCTGAATGTACGTCCAGGGTCTGCCTGCTCCTGTGTTGCTGAAAGTTTGACAGACACACAGAGCTGTCCAGAACAATTCCTCACTCCTCCTGGAAACCAAGATTATTTTCTGTCAGTTCATTCTTACGCCCATTTCTGTTTGCCTTTGTTGTGTTCCCCCTTGCGCTGTTCAGATCCTGATCCACCTATCACTGAAACCAATAGGAATTTTGTCGTTGACTTCAGTGGGATCAAGATTGGGCCGTTAGCAATCTGTGTTATTGCAAATGCTTTCTGGATTTATTTATGCCTGTGGCATAAATAGTTCTTCCTTTCTGAAGGACACGTAACATCTCTGGAATTCAGTGAGAGGGAGGCACAGCCAGTCTGTCAGGAGGCAAGGAGTGCATGCCTGCATGTGCAGGCACACGTGTGCATTGACAGGATACATACACCAGTAAAGAGTGCTGTCAAAGGTAACATAATTCAGCCACCCGAGTCTTCCATTCTCTCACTTATTCTGTTGCTAGTCGCTCCTGCTGCGGAACCCCACCCTCTTCTCTTTCAGATCCATCTTTCCTTTCCATCTCCGGGCTCCTCCTTCATCTCACCACACTTCCAGGGCTTGCAGTGTGAGCAGCTGGACATGGTTGAAAAGCAAGCAGAATGATTTCCATGCCTAATTTTCAAGCCCTGTTTCTTACATGTATGCTATAAGAGCTGGACTTTCACCCCTGTGAGGGGAGGGAAATATTTCAAATGTGGTTCTGACTGGGGATAAGGGAAGCCATCTTGCCTAAATTCAAACCCACAAATGTTTTGTTTCTGAAAGTTCAGCATGAACGCCAGCTGGTCTTAGGATCACCAAGAGTAGTTCACAGCACCTCCAGTTCTACAAGGTTTGCTCTTCCCTATCTACCTTAGGGTTTTATATAGCACCCACCACCACCGTGTCAGCCTGAACCACAGCCCATTGACATCAATGTAAAGCCCCAAGCGCTGATGTTGGTGGACATTGGATCATGCCCTATGTACTATTAGTTGGGACTAGCAGAGGTTAGCCAGTGTCACAGGGTGGCTGATCCTTTACAGGGAGATGTGTCTCAGCCCCATCTGTGACACAGCTAACTTCTCCGCCCCAGGTGGGGAAGATAAAGGTCATGTGGCTGGTGAGTCATGTGACCCAATCAGTACTCTACCTTATCTACCCCGCAGAAGCCTGGAGGGAAGAATTGGTGGTGGTAGGTGAATGCAGGAAGGATGGGAGGAGTGAGAGGAAAGCACAAGGCAGGCAGAGGCCTGTGAAGAACTCCAGGTAGGAAAGCCTGGGAGTATCTGCTTGGGAAAGAGCATGGAGCAACCCAAAGGTGCTCAGGAGAGGCTGCGGGAGAGCTGGGAAGGGCTGAAAACTGGGGACAGAAGACTGAGCTCTGTTCTACATTACAAACTTATGTCAGTATAACTACACTGACAGGAGAAGCTCTCCCATCGGCATAGGGAGTGTCTTCACAAAGTACTGCAGCTACACCGGGGCAGTGCTGTAAGTGTAGACAAGCCCTTAGAGAGGACAGGCTGCTTGGGAAGGCGGGGTTGGACTTAGCTTGAGACTGGGGCAAATACTTTGAGTTTTTTGTTTTGAGTTTAGACTAAGGAACTTCTCTTTCCCCAGAAGGGGTGGCCTTTTGTTAAGGACTCAGCCAGAGGGCCAAGTCACTGCAGCACCCAACCAGACTATGGAGTTTTAAGGAGCCCTGAGAAGTGTGTTGAGCGTGATGTAGAGCCACCCCTGGCCATGAGGGGGTGCTCTGCAAGTGGTGAACCTGTTCTGTGTTACAGTCAGCAATTGTGAACATCAGTCTGGTGGTATCTGAATGTGCTGTAAGCAAGAGGGTTGTTAGGAGACGCTCCCTGTGACCTCTCTCATGTAAGTAGCTCTCTTCCCTCTCGACAGTCTGAATTCCAGTTCCCACCCACTCCAGTGTCCCCTTCCCTCCCTCCCCCAATATTTGTTTCTGTGGGTAAGGGTCTTGCATGTAGTTCTGTCCTGAGGCCCATCGCTGTTGTACTCTAATCTCATAGGGCAGGTTTATGAGAAGTACCCTAGAATATAATGTGCACAAGATTTACTTGAAATAGTTCTGGGGATCAACAAACAGTTGCACATAATCTGATAAAGATGATATGCCCAGTAAACTCAGGTGATGAGACATTCGGGAGGGAAAGCGGGAATTGGAAATTATCAAGGGAGGCCATAGAGAGCAAGATGACTAAAGGGTTGTAACAACGAGGAGTTCATGTGGCACTTTAGAGACTAACAACTTTATTTGGGCATAAGCTTTCGTGGGCTAGAACCCACTTCATCAGATGCATGAAGTGAAAATTACAGGAGCAGGTATAAATACATGAAAGGATGCAGGTTGCTTTACCAAGTGTGAGGTCAGTCTAACGAGATAAATCAATTAACAGCAGGATACCAAGGGAGGAAAAATCTCTTTTGAAGTGGTAAGAGAGTGGCCCATTACAGACAGTTGACAAGAAGGTGTGAGTAACAGTAGGGGGAAATTAGTATTGGGGAGATTAAGTTACATTTTGTAATGGCCCAACCACTCCCAGTCTTTATTCAGGCCTAATCTGATGGTATCCAGTTTGCAAATTAATTCCAGTTCAGACAGCCTGACTTCAATGCTGGAGGGCGTGGATGTGCACCTTAAACCACAGTGTTATCATGAATGATTTGCTGTCAGCTGATTCCCTAAAATCCATGCACCTTGTTCTGTTTTCTAATTACTTTCTATCACCAACTGTCTGCAGTTAACATACAAGCTGGGTTGCTCATGCTGAGAGACAGTGACTTCATGCACAAACTCCCTCCAAGCTGACTGCTATTCCTATTACTAGAGTTTAACTTGCTGTCTTGCAGTTTTAAGTATTAAGCACCATGACACCAAACTGAGGGCAGGCCAGAGGTTCTCATTTATCACTGAGGAATGCATTTCTTAAGTTATCCACTCAGCCCCTAGGGCTCCTCCACTTATTCCCACTGTGCTTCTCAAGTAATCAACTTAATACCATGGTTTGCACCTTTAAATGCTTCTTGCATTATGTCACTGTTAGCAGGTTTAGCTGCAAGCAAGGTTGTAAATCTGCTGCCATTAGGAGCATAGTCAAATAGGGATGTTTTCACTGGAATCATACACTGGTATCCTTTGTAGAGATGGATTCTTGTGGCTACACATGTCTGCCCCAGAGGCATAATGTGCATGAGTTCTCAAACCAGTGCATTGGTTTCATCCTTTGTAAATTGGCGTAGGAGCCCCTTCAAAGCCAGGTCCTGGTGATCAGCACATGCGGCTGGCTCCTGTTGACATTAGTTGATGTTGCAGGTGCTCAACCATCCACAGGATTGCGTTCTGAGGGGCAAAAGGGGAGGAACTCACCTAGAAACCATCCAAAGTGAAATCAAGTGCCATATTCCCAAGGCTCTTGTACTGCAGAACCGATTCTTTGCTGTTGTTGGGTTTTATTTAAATTCAAATGCACTAATATTGACTGTACACCCAGCAGAAAATCTACCTAGACTGTAGACTGACAGTAGCTACCATGGATTATTGAAATTTTGTTTTCACTGCTCTTAGCTTTTCTTGGCCTCCATGGTTTGTCTCTAACGAGACTGCTTAGATGAGAAATTGCTTTCCTGGGGGAAGGAGCCACTTTTGCTCCATATGACTGCCCAGCAGACTTCCCCTTCAGAGCAGCCTAGCTACTCCCATATTTGAAGACTGCCTCTCAAGTGGACTCAGAGCCGTAGTTTCTTCTCTTACCTATCGTGTGGATTGCGAGGTCTACAGCTTTCCTGCAACCTCTGGTAGCAGCAGCAGCTTGTGAGGTGGTTATTTTTATAGCCACTTGTGGCATCCCAGAAAGATAAAATCCGGTTACTTGGCCTAGTCAGGGTGAGAAGGGGTAGTGATGTGATAATCTATCTCTATGGGCTGCCCTAGGTAGCTATGAAAATAGCCACCATTAATCAAATAACCATTGGGAGGATAGTTTTATGAGTTGGGTGAAACCTTGTTATGGGATTGAGGTTGATAGGTGTGAATTTACCCTTCAATTAGCATAACTGTAGCCATAAACTGCACGTAAGAGAAGTTTCTGAAGTTTCTGAGCACAGATGCCCAAAGGAGCGGCTGAAAGCAGTGGCAGACCTTAGAAGAAAACAGGGGAGAGGTTTTTGGGTCAAGGGAGCAGGCAAAAAGAGTAGTGTTGGTGCTGTGAGCAAAAGAAGCTCATAGACTCATAGACTTTAAGGTCAGAAGGGACCAATGTGGTCATCTAGTCTGACCTCCCGCATGATGCAGGCCACAAAAGCTGACCCCCCCACTTTCCCTTAACTCTGCTGTTGAAGTCTCCAGATCGTGATCTAAAGACTTCAAGTCGCAGAGAATCTTCCAGCTTGCGACCCCTGCCCTATGCTGCGGAGGAAGGCGAAAAACCTCCAGGGCCACTGCCAATCTACCCT